AACAGAAGGTAGATATGTTTCACTGTTATAAATCCATAGGTAAAACATTCAGGTTGGTTTATTTTATAGACGAGAGAAATGGTGTTGCATTCTGATCTGTTGCTCAATTGAACAGATGAAAGTATACGTCTATGTACCAGAGTGATCATCTGGAAATAAAGTGTTTTGAGAAGTGGGTAGCTGTATACATGGGAGGAAGAATGGAGGAGAGAGAGAGAGAGTATAATAGAGACAGAATACAAGAAAGATCATGAGAGAGAGAGAGAGAGAGAGAGTATAATAGAGACAGAATACAAGAGAGAGAGAGAGTGAGAGTTATATGCATGATGCTGACTGATGACGTGAACGACGGAGCGCAGTGCACCATAACACACACACACACACACTGAACCCTCTTGGTGATGCCGCCACGCACCACACCAGACGAGATCACATGAATGTTTTACAAATGTTTGCCGCCAGTGACAGACAGACACACGTTCACATGGAAGAAAGTTTAGTATTGTAGAAGTAAACACCAAACTTTTTCTTTTAGAATTATATGAACTTCATTTACGGCACTCGCCACTTGTCATTCAATTATTCTCACAGGGACGAGTATTAAGTTACAATTTCCACCACCCAATAGGAAGGTAGAGGGCGCCACTTGTTATAAATCCAGGGTAAAATATTCAGGTTGGTTTATTTATAGACGAGAGAAATGGTGTTGTATTCTGATCTGTTGTCAATTGAAGTCAGACAGTGGGGGGGGGGGTTAAGGCTGCCTGAGTGCACTAGAGGATTGGTCTGGAAATAGTGTTTGAGAAGTGGGTAGCTGTATACGGGGAGGGAAGGATGCGGAGAGAGAGAGAGTATAATAGAGACAGAATACAAGAAAGATCATGAGAGAGAGAGAGAGAGAGAGAGTATAATAGAGACAGAATACAAGAGAGAGAGAGAGTGAGAGTTATATGCATGATGCTGACTGATGACGTGAACGACGGAGCGCAGTGCACCATAACACACACACACACACACTGAACCCTCTTGGTGATGCCGCCACGCACCACACCAGACGAGATCACATGAATGTTTTACAAATGTTTGCCGCCAGTGACAGACAGACACACGTTCACATGGAAGAAAGTTTAGTATTGTAGAAGTAAACACCAAACTTTTTCTTTTAGAATTATATGAACTTCATTTACGGCACTCGTGTGTGTGTGTGTGTGTGTGTGTGTGTGTGTGTGTGTGTGTGTGTGTAGTGAACCGTGGCAGGTGGGGGCCGTAGAGTGTTGACACGGCATTACTGTAACCTAACCTAACCTTTACCCTAGAAAACTGAATGGTGTTCAATCTTAAGGTGAGAGATTTAACTACAAATGAGACGCAGTATGTGTGAGAGAGGGAGAGAGAGAGAGAGAGGTGGCGGTGAGGTGAGACAGAAGGAGGAAGTGCGCAGTGGGACGTCCTATTCTCCCTCATCCTCCTCCTTCTTCCTCTTCTTCCTTCTCTTCCTCCTCCTCCCCCCATCTTCCTGTACCTCTCCCTCCAGTAGGTGTTGTGTTGTGTACCATAGAAAAAACGATAGTGAGGACGAAGGGTACTCTCTCTCTCTCTCTCTCTCTCTCTCTCTCTCTCACAGTCTACAGTTATTTCATCTGGCTACAGTTACTCTTTTTGTTATGCTTCCACACCATTACTTTGTGTGTGTGTGTGTGTGCGTGCGTGCGTGCGTGCGTGCTTAAGTCTATGAATAGTGATGGAGAAGGTAGGAAGAGAGGGAGGAGGAGGTAGGAAGAGAGGGAGGAGGAGGTAGGAAGAGAGGGAGGAGGAGGTAGGAAGAGAGGGAGGAGTAATAGGCCGCATAAAGATGACCGCCACATCGAGGCTGATAGCCGCAGAGTGTTGGCCGCACTGACACACTTACCGCACACAGCTGACAGCCAGTCCTATACCCACTACTGGGGGGCCTCCAGCTGACACCCCTCCCTCTCCTCCCTCTCTCCTCTCCTCTCACTGTCTGTATCTATAGTTATAGTGTACATTAGGATAGCCTTAAGTACCACACACACACAGCCAGACACACACACACAGCCAGACACACACACACAGCCAGTATACACACACACACAGACACACACACACAGCCACACACACACACACACAGCCAGACACACACACAGCCAGACACACACACACAGCCAGACACACACACAGCCAGACACACACACAGCCAGACACACACACAGCCAGACACACACACAGCCAGACACACACACAGACAACTTACTGCACTAGATTTCATGCTTGCCAGACACAGCTTCCCAGACTGTTAGAGAAAGAGCGTATAAGAACTGTGTGTTTTTAATAATAAAGAAAGTTCCCATTACCAGAGATATATAAACCTAACCAAACCAAACCTACCATTAACCTAACCTAACCAAACCAAACCTACCATTAACCTAACCTAACCAAACCAAACCTACCATTAACCTAACCAAACCAAACCTACCATTAACCTAACCTAACCAAACCAAACCTACCATTAACCTAACCTAACCAAACCAAACCTACCATTAACCTAACCTAACCAAACCTACCATTAACCTAACCTAACCACACAACGCTTTATTTTCGTGGTGTTAGATTGACCCTGTTGTCATTTCGTGGTGGAGGTGAACATTTCTGAGATGACCCGAGTTTCTTTTAATTTACTCGTGGATTAAAACAAATGGCTGGTCTTTCAGTAATAATGGTTAAGAAACTTTGTATAGTATTTAGGGGGGTTTGTTTTGTTTATATAATGTACAACAAACTATTTCACGTTGTTTATATTTTATGGTTTGTTTACTGTTTGTTGAGTGGTGGGGAGGAGTGTTTTTAGTGGTGGATATGCTTCTTAAATCTGACGTAATAAGCTACTCTTTTTTTGGTCTATTATTTACGCTATTATTTTTTATACCTATATATAATCTTATTGTTTTATATTCGACTAATAATAGATGGTTATAAGAAATTTAGTAATTAAGGTTTTATGTAGGTAATATACGTAGGTGTTGTTAGTGACGTACACTCACTACGGCTTCTGGGTCCTGACTGGCCGCCGCTGCCGTCAGTATGCACCAATAACGGTCTTATAGGCTGACGTCATAGGGTGGGGGCGGTGCGAGTGACGCAATATGGAGCCGGGCTTACTGAGGTGGCAGAGGCGGTGCTCCAAAATATCCCAGGATAAACTGACACACACACACACACACACACACTCAAGGCAGCCTCGTGCCGACTCTACATGCTACGACGACTCGGGTCACTTGGGACACCCACGTCAGAGCTGAGGACCATCTACAACGCATTTATTCTCCCCAAATTAACGTATGCGTCACTAGCCTGGTCGTCTTCTCTCAACTCCACCCAACAACGTCAGCTAGAGAAGGTACAGAAAAGGGCCTGCAGAATCATGCTCGGCGCAGACTACTCCGGCTACACCAACGCTCTCTCCACCCTGGAAATGTCCCTCCCTTAGTGACCACCACGCACTAGCAGGGTTTGGCAGTGGACTACTGCACAATCCTGTCATCGCCACCCACTGCCACCGACAGTCCCCCGCCCACCTCGCTCAGTCCGCCACTACAACAAAATTCAGCCCAAAAGAGCCAGCACTGATAGATATAAGAACAGCACCATCCCATCTAATGTTAAAATAATAAACAACTCCTGGTTTATGTACTGTACAGCCCTGTAAATGTATTGAACGTATATCATTATGTCTAAATCACTTGTAAGTTTGTATATTTTCAGCCACCGGCTGCAACTCTATTAATAAACCGTTTATTATTATTATTATTATTATTATTATTATTATTATTATCATTATCATTATTATCATCATCACACTACAGTACGTCTCTCACTGGACCTACTGAAGGGATATTTTTACTTCAGTGTGTTTGTTTTTGTGTTTACTATTTAATAGCCTTTGATTATAATAAAGAAAGCGGGGCTAAGATAATTTGAGATAATGTTTAGTCCCAGGAATGGAATAGTTTTTTCTTTCTCTTTCTTCTTTTTTGTCTGTCTGTTTGTGTCTTTTTTCTTTCCCTCTGTTGAAAACAAAGTTATATGTATTAGTATATAAGCACAGTAGCCGTAACCCGGTACAATGTATGTAGGTCATTAATTAAGAGTGACCTGACACGTGTGGTAGTTCAGTAGTGGGGGAGAGGGCTGGGGTCAAGTAAGGTCAGGGTCAGAACCATTGCTCTCCCTCACTTGGTAATTTTATGTACGTCGTTCAGATTAAAGAATGTTTTTGAATGATAGTTGATTTTTAATCTTTTATTAACATTACCATTGAAACCTCCATATAACGGACTTCTCTATATAACGGATTTACCTCTCCATATAGTCCATTAAATAGAGGTTTTACTTAAGTACATTTAGCATTTTATTTACTCCCAATCTATTGCATGACGCTTATTGTGTAATAATAAAGAATTACTAGATATAACATAACAATACGTGCATAACAGTTTAATGTGTGTTCCTTAAGTTACTATTAAGATCTGTGGCAAATTTTCCTTCTATATATTTTGTCATATTTAGAACTGGAGACCGTTAGGAATGTTATCAGTGAGTGTTGTTATACAGCCTTAATTACCACAGTTAACAGTCTGGTTAAATGAAGTGTCATAATAAAAACGTAATACTATTGTTAACAGCCATATAACGGTTAAAAAGTCTGTTGATTACCACAGTTAACAGTCGGGGTATTATAAACAGTCAGTTCTCAGGAGCATTATAAGCTTGATCACCTCAGTTAACAGTCAAATAACAGTTAAAAAGTGAATGGGGTATTTTAAAATCAGTTCTCAGGGGCATTATAAACTTGATTACTACAGTTAACAGTCAGCTTAGAGTGAGTGGTATTATAGGAGCTTGACCACCACAGCTAACAGTCAAATAACAGTTAAAAAGGTGAATGGTTGTAGATATTGATTGTATGTGTGTTTTGTCGTCAGGGCGCCCGCGTATGGATCCCCGACCAGGAGCAAGTGTGGCGCTGCGCCGAGCTCACCAAGGACTACAAGAATCATCTGGTGGCCGTCATCTATGAGAACTCCCAGGTACTGTATTCTCGCCATCCATACTTCTATTCATCCATCCTTTCATCCATCCATCCGTCCATCTCTCCAGCCATCCATCCAGCCATCCATCCTTCTTTCTTCCAACTCAGCTTCTTCCCTTTTCACTTGAAGAGAGGAATTAAATATCAAGTGTCAGTGGAAATAATTACAGCAGGTGACCTTACAATTTTAAGCTACGGTAATATTAACAGTTCTTAGTTCCTTGACGATATGATGTTCCCAACTTATTTGATGATTGAATAGAAAATACCTGTTTTATTTTGTATATAACCTTTTAAGATTAATGTTTAGGTATTATATAAAAAAGCTAAGAGAGTATGAGGAATTAATGTGAATATTTGACAATGCCAAAATGTGTCATTATGTCAGCGCATTTTAGAGCGGGTCAAGTTTTCTCTTTGGAAGGCTAGTTACAAAAGGTCAAGTATTAGGAGAGGTAAATATTCGCCTTCTTCTGCATATATAACAATATTGGTGTGTTATAAGCTGGAACTAAATACATAGATCTAGAGTGTTGCTTATAAAACGTAGTACAGTATTTTTGGGCGGGTAAGTGTGTGACTCACTGCTTACACAGTATTTTTTAAAGCCCATTTTCATACATTATGTCTCAGGCTACTACCGTAAGTAAAGTTGTCACACTGAGACAAGAGCTGCACTGTAAGTCTTATTTCTCCCTCCTGTACACAGTGTGACCCTAGGTAATGCTCTGCTTGTATGAATGACTAAGCTTTTATACCCCCAGGGAAAGGCACCTCAGAGGATTTTACTAAGGTTTCCCTTTATTTACATTGCTTGCTCCTAACATGTAACAAGTTCATGGTTTGTTTCAACTTGCATTTTCGATGTTGTCTGAATTATGACTTCATCTTTTATGTTCCATTTGAACGCTTTCATGACTAGTAAGATGAAATATTGAGATATAACAGACCTCACACATAAGTGTGTAAGGTGTAGCTAACCTGGTTTTTTACTGTAACACACTTTTTCTCGGCATTTTTTATTTGTGTGAAAATGAAGAAGACCTTTCACCAGAGACCTTTAAAGAAGGGGGCTTCCAGTTTGTCCCAAAACTTCCTGTTATATCACATGTTTGCAGGGGGCTGACCAGTGTTATGATAGAGGCTTTGTTGAGGAAGGAGGTGAAGCCGGCGTGATTGTTTTGTCGGAGTCAACCCAATGATAAGATCTACTTGCATTGTCAGAGCTTGGGGGGGATATTTCCTTTGATTGAAAATACTGTATATAAAACAGACTTATCTGTTGTGTCCTCCTAGGTGTTGGTGTCATTTAGGCCACATAGAAATTGGTTTTTCATTCTCTCTCATTGTTTTCAACTATAAGAGACTGCCTTTTCAAAAACTTTTTTTTTTAAGGGATCTGGTCTCAATAGGAAGAGGTGTAATATGTTCTGGTGTCCAATCCCATCCATTTGCCATCGAGGTGGTAATCTTGAGCAGACCCAGGGATAGTATGCAAGTTCCCCGAATCTAGGATTACATATGGAATGGAGACTTTGGGATCAAATCTCCTGTTTTAGAAGTATGTTGGGTACATGGCTCATATCTTAGAAATACTGTATATTTTGAATTATGAGAATATGAAAGCTTTACTAACTGTATTTAGATTTATTTAATTATTAGTTTTTAAGACTGCTGGAGAGTACAATAGGAACATTGCTTCTTGTTATGTTGGATCATAATGCTTATCATCTTGTACTGGCTTTGATTATTTAAATGATTCTCTTCATCAGTACGGTACTAATAAACTCTTCCGGGTAACTCTAACTTTTCCGTAATAATCTGTTTCTTCTCATTGGTTGTTACCAGTAACTAGGGCTTTAGACATCTTTTACCCCTTAAGGTGGTATTGACCAGTTCTTCTTCCACCTACACCTGTACATGCCGTGTGGCTCTGCTTGAACAGCTCTACTCTTGCACTCTGCTGTTGGTCTCACCCAGGGGTTCAATGTAGATCAGGCTCTTGAGGATCTTATTGCACCACGGCATGGTTAAGTTGGTTACGTGATAATATATGGCGACGATGTTTGTCTTTATTTCTATCATCACTGTTGTATATTTGGTGTGTTTATTGTAAGTACAGTCGTGGTTTGTTATGGGTACAGTTCTGACAAAATCTATTGTTATGTCTGCCTTTTTATTGTTTATTACTAGTTTTGGGGTAAAGGGAGAAGAACCTGCATCTTGGTATGTGAGAATCTGTATACATGCATGTACATTTAGTCAAACATCAAGCAAGTGTGAGATACATGTTACAGGTACAGTCCTACAAAATGAAAGCATATTAAACAATGATATTCAGGGTATACAGAAATTAGTGTATGGGATCACTTCTTATTGCACAAAAATTAGTTACACATAAGTGATTCTTTTTTTTTAATACTGAACACGTGGAAAAGAGGTCCTGTGAAAGTGAATGTCTGTTAAATTATCTATACTGTGCTTAATATTTTCACATGTATGATTTAAACATTTCCAGTTCATTAATATAAAAGGTGTGCGGAATAATAATGATAATCCTTATTAGCCAAAAAGTTAAAAAAAAATTCTCTCATACATACAGGACCTTGCTTACTACTCCTGCAATTGAAGAGTGCCTTTGGGTCATTACTGTACATTGATTATTGCTCAGTTGTTGTGGAATTATACAACCCAATATATATAAAGATATTTAGAAACATTAATCTGCACTTTTTACTTATTAGTTTTTTGGTCATCATAAACGTAGTGTACTGCTTATACTGATAAAGTAAATTAATATTTCAGTAAAAGAATTTTTATCAGAAATGTCCCAGGGAATGTAACCCCTACTTATATTCAATACACTGTGCTTGCTTCAATGTCACATTTTCATTAATGCATGTCCAACATACAGCGGCATTATACCTGTATACTATATTAGATGGTCAGCAGGAGCATGAATGCTGGTTGGTACAATGAGGTCAGAGCTTGGGTGTCTTTTCCCAAAAATTTCTGGGCTTGCATTCTTCCTCTTCTCCTCTTGGCCTTGAGAACTAAACTTGGACAGTGTTAGCCATCTGTAGATCATCTGCCCACCGTCTGTCTGATACTAATATTTTTGTCTTAGCCTTGAGATTCTTATGATGATGATAAATGACTTTTAAAAACCACATATTTGTACAGGATCTCCTTGATGTCTTTGTTGGAGTAAGTTCATCGTGTCCCTTATTTACATACAGTGATGAAATAATAAAATGTACAGTAGAGGGTATATGATGCATGGGTTTGTTTTATTCAGGTATCTTGTGGAAGTCATATTGTGTAGATTTTTATTTTTATTTATTTTTTTGGCCATTTCGAATGTCACTAGGACCTGTAATGTGCTGATGTAGTGTTGTGAAATATGATAAAAATAGTACACTATACTACAGTATGAAATCTTTTATGAAATCTGATCAAAAACTTATGTAATCTGATCAAAGGTATTATAAAATTTGATCAAAGGTACTGTATATTATGAAATCTGATGGAAAAGTCTTATGAAATCTGATCAAAAGACTCATGAAATCTGGCATGTGGAAGCTCAGGTTAAAGTAAACTATATTATGTCTCATAGTTAATAATAATCGTCCGCTCCAGACTGATGACATCAAGGTTAAGAGTGATGAGCATCTCCCACCTCTAAGGAACCCTGATATTCTCATAGGCGAAAATGACCTCACCTCGCTCTCTTACCTCCACGAGCCTGCTGTCCTCTACAACCTACAAGTGCGTTTCTGCAACCACAATGCCATCTACACGTACTGCGGTGAGTTGTGGTGGTTTTGTTGTCTATAGGTTCGGGAAGGTTAGGTTAGATCAGGTTAGGTTGAGTTTAATGTGAAGTTGAATGACATTTTTGCAGTTCTCAGCTGAATAACCTAACCTGACCTAACTTATAATTATCATGCTATATTTTATTTGGTGTTTAGTGAAATATCATTTTTTTCTTATGATGATCTTTAGGTAACCGTAAATTTCAGTTCCAAAGTGGCTCTGGTTCCAAGCATTTCGGGATTTTGATGTACAACCTGTAGAAATATGTTGTCTATGTTGCACTGCCAAGAAGATCTGTTAGATGGCTGTACAGTAATGTATTCTCGTCTACAGGAATCGTTCTTGTGGCTATCAATCCCTATGAGGAACTCCCTATCTATGGCCCGGACACTATCTCAGCTTATCGAGGCCACTCCATGGGTGACCTCGATCCTCACATCTTTGCTGTTGCAGAAGAAGCGTTCACACAAATGGAGAGGTAACTTTATTATTATTATTATTAACCATTTATGTGATTATTAGTTGCAAGTAAGTTGTTTATACAGTACTGTATAGGTTTTTTGTTCTTTGAGATGTATAACAATTAGGTGTACGTATTTAAGCTACAGAATGGTGGTTACAGTGAAGATTGACTTGCATTATGTATACTGTATTATCATATTGCAGTACTGTATAATTATCAGGTATTCAACAGTAAAATAGATTACTGTACATTGATTCTGATACATGATTGGTTATTTTCTGTGTCTGTTGTTCATGTATGTACAGGAGTTATTTCCCTGCCTAACTTAAGATGAAACGATCGTAACCTAACCTAACTTACGATGAAATTACCAGAATTTAACATAATCTAACCTAACCTAACATGAAATTAACCTAAGAATTCAATTGAAATTATCACCTTTTGAAACTGGTAACTCCTCTTTCTCTCTCCAGGGAAAACAAAGACCAAAGCATCATCGTGTCAGGAGAGTCGGGCGCTGGCAAGACAGTGTCGGCCAAGTACGCCATGAGGTACTTTGCCAGCGTGGGCGGCTCAGACTCGGAGACACAGATCGAGAAAAAGATCCTGGCGTCGAATCCTATAATGGAGGTGAGGTGACTGATGTTGTCCTGGTGGCGTAGAGTCAGTCAGAGGGAGTGTTGGGTTATGTTGAGTTATAAGGTGGTACTGTAGGTGAGTGTGAAGTGTGTCCTGGTGAGAGTAATGTATGATGTGTGACTGTATTGATAAATGACTGTAATATAATCTTTAGTTTAGAAATTATGGTAACTCTCTGAATGCAATGGTATGTCAGTATGATGGTTTAAAATGCTTAGGATAATGGTTTAGTTGATTCTGGATGATAGTTTAACCCTTTGAGGATGATAGTTAAAAAGGATGACAGGAGGGTAGTTGAGAATCATATTTTAATAGATCGGTATCATTAAAAACAAGGGCTTTCTTCTAATCACATTCTGTCTTCTTCAGGCAATTGGTAACGCAAAGACGACGAGGAATGACAACAGTTCGCGTTTTGGAAAATATATAGAGCTGGATTTCACACGTAAATATAGCATAATGGGCGCCAACATGAGAACATACCTCTTGGAAAAATCCCGTGTTGTCTTTCAGGTGAGATGTGTAGGAGAATTTTGCTGCCCCCTCCTCTAGTCTATTTTTTTCTCTCTCTAGTCTCTCTCTTTCTCTCTCTAGTCTTTCTCTCTTTTCTTACGATTCACAGGAGATTTCATGTACATTATAAGCAGAATATTTGCATCAATCCAAAGACCGAAACATTGCAGTAAATTAATTTTGTTTATTACGACCAATTTATTCAAGAAGTGATCACTAATCGAACATGTGTTTTATAAGTAACTTTTACATGAACTATTAGTCAACTGAACACCTGTCTTATACCTCACTTGTGTTTTTCTTTTTAAGGCTCCAGAGGAGAGAAATTACCACATATTTTACCAGTTGTGTTCTGCATCATCAGACGAAAAGCTGAAGCATCTGAAATTAGGTGAGTGATCTGCCGGTGGGGGTCTGTTGTTAATGGTAATATTTCAGAAGCAGAAAAGTGGTGTTTGAAGACATACCAGTCGGTCATTACAGTACTTGGGGAAACTTTGGTCTGAATGAAAAACCAAATGAAGTGAGGATGGGAGGAAGTAGTTGGTATGTAATACAAGTGAATAATGTTTGAGGTTATAAGATTTAAGGTGATTATGAATATATTATCCCTCATGAATACCTGTTGGCTCCTCCAGTGACCCTTGTACACTCGCCTCCAGAAAGTATCATTACGATTTTGTGTGAGACAATTATGACACAACGGACGAAGGATTTTGACAACCTTACCGAGACAACAGGAGTCATGGTGTTCACTGTGAAAGTCATGGGACCCCTCTGTAATGATAGTTTCTGGAGTGAGTGTACATGTATGTGGCATAGTGCACATCAGGTTAAACATTATGTGGACCTGGCACGTCCTCTGATGGTCAAGATGAAGGCGACAGCTTCTCTCTCCTGAAGTGAACAAACTCTTGGGTACTTAAGGTTCTGTGATACATTTACCCTTTTATCAGTCCATTAAGAGGTGTTGAAAAGAAAGGTTATCATAGTTTGCAGTACTTTCCTTCCTTTCAAGTCATGTATTAACAAAAACATTTGCATTGTCGGTATCAAATTGAACTGTTGCCATCGTTGTTTGTTCTTTATTATATTTTGAATTATGTTTTAGGTTTATGATTACTGTATAAAAGCTCAGATTAATTCATTCAGTGACATTCAGGAAGGTTAATGAAGATGTTAAATTGAAGTTGATAAGCTAAATCCTTCAGTACAATACAGAATTATTATTTAGCTGTGGGAAAATACTTTTATTGGAATGTTATCAGTTGAATTAATTGACCAATGATTATATTTTATGTACAGTTATATAGTAATAAGTGTTGTTAGCTTTAATTGTGGTGGGAGGTGAAATATGGCTGAAAAAGACAGGTACAGTAAGTAAACATTTCTATCTGTATGGTTTTTCTTACTTATTTTTTTCATATTTATTGTTTTACAGCAGACGTTGAGTTTAGTGAACCTTTTTAATGATACTTATTGTATGGTTTAAGTTGGTTACAAGACTTATACCCTCTCCTGTAGGCTCTCCGGAAAGTTTTCACTACATGAACCAAGGACTGCGAGAGGCTCCCAAACGGTCATCCAAGACCCGCCAGGGTGTGGTTCAGTGAGCGCTGAGTGTGTGGTGATGCTGCCAGACCATGATGCTTTGCTTAATTAGCATGTTTATTTGCTGTGTCACTCGCTAGAATCTTATTAGCGTTTGTCGTATTTACTATATTTTTGGCCTCCTGATATCTATTATCCGATGCGTATGTAATAATTATGAAAGAGCCGCTGCAAATATTTGGGTACTGTATTCCTCTTCTTGTAATTACTGAACATCTTTATGACTTACACGTACTACATATTAGAGTATTGCTTCCTTAGCTTGAGAAACCATAATGTATATTGTATGTTTATCCTAAACTCCACCACAGAAATGCAGAATCATGATTAAATGTACTGAGTGTGAGAAGAGGTGATGTTGATGAAGGCTTGTAAGTCGTAGGAGAGAAGTTGAGACCTGGGATTGGACAGTGAGATGTTGATGTCTTGCTTGGTGACTAATCTCCTTATACTGAGGCTTTACACTTGATGGGACTCTCTTACCCACGAGTTGGTAATTTCTTAGATAGTTTGTCGTATTTGCAAGAAGGTTACAAGTGGACGATACTGAGATTTTGAGAGTTGTAAGTGGTTGTAAATGAACTGAAGGTATTTTGTTTTGGATTGTATCATTATGTGAGGGAAGTGACTGTGTTGCTAAAAATGATTAATAGTGATGGAGTATTAGTAAATGTTCTACAAAAGGAACATAGAAGAATAGATTAATTGAATGTAGAAATGGAAATTATATGTCAGTGTTTGGATGAAATTTAAGATAGTTGTTAGTCTGAAGTAGAGAGTTTTGTTAAGGACAGTGTTGTGGTTTGAGATCGTTGACACTCACTGGATGTCTAGAGAATGACCAGGAGTGCCTGTATCTGCAGAGGTCACTAAGTTTTGAATTTCAGTTTTAAGAGCTGTTAAGATTTTGCTTGGTCTGGCCGGGGTTGGTTGCTGTGTCCTGTTACAGATCCAGACACACAAACTTCTTGTCTTATCATCGTCAGGGAAATATTTAGTAGGAGTTGATTGTACTACAACATATATTTGGGTAACATTACTGTTTAATGATGTTATTTATAATGAATTTAGATTATAGGTATACAATTGTGTGTGTGCAGTATATGCACCTCTAGAATGACCTGCTTGTACAGTGTTGGCAATATTGAATAGCTTTGAGAGCTTTGCTTTGTAAACTTTAAAAATATTTGAGAATGGGAGATTGAGTACTTTACACCTCTTGAGAATAATCAGTCTTTCATAACTAATAAATCTAATTATATTTTGTTCAGAGTTAAATAAGAAACTATATCTTCTAATGAACACTGGACAAAGAGATATTTTCTAAGGAATTGTATTTACAGTCATAGATTAGTGATTGAATTATGCAATTGTGACTGTTTCTGATATTTTCAGTATAGTTATTTTAAGCAAGGAGAGTACAGTACAACCTTGAGAATCTCGAACTAAAACATCTGGCACCTTCAGTTATATCCAAAATATAATCATGAAAATCTTTGAAATTTAGAATTTGTGTTTGTAGCACTCACAGTGAAAAGTCTGTTGATTATGATAAAGTAGCAGTGCATACAGAGAAAGTCAAACAGTTTCATGAGGTCTTGAAAGTTAGTGTTGAGTTTGTTTAATCTTAAGGCTGGTTGGAAAGGTTTAAACATAGGCATGAGAAGAGTGATGTTGTATGGTAGTGAAAAATGGGTGGTTAAAGGGGATGGCATACAGTCCACAGGCATGAGTGAGCTGAAATGTCAATGTTGAGATGGATGTACACTTGTACAGTGTGTTACCGAGAGTGAGCAACCCTGTTCAGAGCCAAGAGGGTAGTTGAGTATTGAGAGTGCGGTATTAGTAAAGTTTTACCTAGAGGTAGGCTGAGATGGTTTGGGCATGTACAGAGAATGGAGGAGACCAGTGCTTGAGGTGCTTGAGTCTAAATGCCGATGGGAGGAGAGCCAGGGGTAAGCCAAGAATGACATGGGGAGAGATTGTAAGAAATAAGATCTGAGTTAAAACCTGACAAGAAAGGCTACAAGAGACTGGGCAGCATGAAAAGCTAACATCAGGTACCCGGTAATCACAGATAACCCACGCAAGCATGGAAATTTACCGTAAATCGTTGATGGTGGTGGTGATGATGATGATGATGATGATATTTAAAAACCAGCGGTGAATAAATATCTCCTAATATTGAGGCGCCAGTAAAGTGAGCAACTGGTTTTGCTTGGTTAGATCTGTAAGAGGTTAGCATAACATGTTTCCAGTGGAGATGCATTCATGGCAACACTGTTTCTTACCTATGAGCAGTATATGAGGGTGTCATTGAGTACCGGTAATAGCACTATTAATGGTACTGTACTGTACTCATAATATATGTCTTTAATCAATTCATAAATAAAGAATAATTTATAATGATAATTGTCTTTAGAAAATAATTAAAGTTACAGTTATTCTCTAGTTTACATGTTCACAAAACACAATTCATCCTTTATGCTATTCACCAAGTAGAGAAAACCTTTCACAAATTATGGTACATTTCCAGTTTAACATGATAGATAGACCAACATGTTCTGGACAGTTGCTTTAGTGTCCCTATCACAGCACTCGCTTCTGACCTGACAGCCATTTGCCTCGCACTTACCTTGTATTAATTCGCTAAACTTTGCTGGTTAATTTTTGTTTGTTTTTTCATGATTTGCCAGTGGCACCCCGTACAGTTGTGAGTGTAAAGTGAGAATGAAGTGACTGATGTGCCTTTAAGTGATATTTACATGTAGTAACTCATAAGGTAAACAAATTATACAAGGATACTTAAATGAAATATAAAACAGTGATAATGAGTGTTTTATTATGAGCTGTGAGGTTTTTAGATTTTGGGTTTTTATTATAGTAAAATATTCTCTAGAACAATGAGCATTATAACAAAAAAGTGTAGATATTTAATGTTTAATCTGAAATCCAGAAAGTTTCAGTCTCGAGCATTACATATTCTTGAGGTTTTACAGTACAATATTTTGAATCTAAGACTTTGAATTCTCAGAAGTGTTCCTGTTCTGCTGGTGGTGTTGTGTGCTTGGTGGAAGGCATAACTAACTTGGTTAATGACTGGCTTACTCTGCTGGTCAGGTGGTGCACTCTGCTCTTATTCTTCGCTTATATTTTCCAACCATTGGCTTCATGATAATCTCAACTAATTGTTGTCAGTTATCAATTCATTCTGATACAAATTTATTTCCTTCTCCTTACTGTTTACTTAACTACTATCTTAATCATAAATTAAAATTCATAATAATTACTTAATATAATATGGGATATAATTAATTACAGCAGACTTTAACTAATGTTGTCTTGTGCTCTTGTCTTATTGGGAGAAATTGTCTTTCCTTGAGCTTTGCTTCCATTAAACTGTTTCTTCATAAAATGGTAAGTGTAACCATGCAAGTTGCACTGTTGCAGAATATCTTTTCGTCAATAATTATTAAACGTCTTCCTCAGGACATCAAGACAATTTTCACTACCTCAAACAAGGCCGAAGCCCTCACATCGAGGGTGTGGACGACGCTGCGGACTTTCAAGAGACGTGTCGGGCGTTTTCACTTTTAGGAATGAATGAGGCAACACAAGAGCAAATGTTCACAATTCTTGCTGGAATATTACACTTGGGAAACGTCACATTCGAGGAGGACAGCGGCGATTCTTCTACTATTGATGTATGTTGTAAGAGAGTGTGTTAGTGTTTCTCTCGGATTTGAATTCTACACCCGAGCCTGTAATGTATATACTAGCCTAGGCTTAGGTTATTGAACTGTTAATAGGTCAAGACATCCAAACACTGAAAATATCTGAAACCCGAGATTCAGTCAACCTTAAGGATTTTAGACAAAAGCTCCACGACCTGTAATTTAACATTTACATTATATGTACAGAGGTAAAAATTCTTATGTATTACCGGAACTTTTCATTAGTCTTAGGAGTTCCCTTAAAAAAAAAAAACTTACTCATATCTTCATTAATACTAAGATATGTTTTATCGTCACTGCAGAAAAAAGATAAGTCACTTCACATAGCAGCAGAACTACTAGGTATCCAGTTAGAAGATATACAGAAGTGGCTCTGTCACCGTAAAATTGTCAGTGGGAGGGAAGTCTTCACGAAGCCCATGACGTTCACAGAGGTTTGTATTAAATGTCTTGTTTTGGTGAATTAGTTATATCTGTGCATAAATTTAGCCAGATTTTAAGACTTTACTAATACATTACTGTTATATACAGTACTGATTTGATTATACATTTTCTAAACATTCATACGCCTTTTTTTCTACGTGAATGAGTTACTCTCCTGCATCACGCAAAGTAAGAGGTTAATGTTCCTGATGAATCTTGGGTATGTTCCAGGCAACGTTTTCAAGAGATGCTTTGGCTAAACACATCTACGCAAAGTTGTTTGATTGGATTGTGATGCAGATCAATAAATGCTTTGCTGCTACAGAAAAACCATTCAGGTAAGATTAATCCTGTATTAAAAAAAAGATTTGTTTTACCCCTTTTTTTTCTATTTTTTGTGATATAAGTGGGATTTTATTTAGTGCACTGTACGTCAGAGTGGAACAAATTTAAAAGAATTTAAGTGATGTAATCCAAGATGTGTCTTGGAGGTGTCACTAGAAATAGCTTACTGTGATGTAGTTATGGCGTGTTTAGATATGCATGTAGAGAGAAAGAAATTCCCAGATACCACTTTAAATAATACCTTGAATAATTAAGTCCTATGTAGATGATGTTACGTAAGTCTTTCTGTTTTATACAGTAATTGGCTGAGCATCTATGTTGGTCCATCTGCCTGCTGGGTGTGTATTGATTGCTACTACAACATAAGACGTACTGTTGTTAAATTTAGTATGTGTGAGGTGATGGTCCCTCCTGGGTACAGTACTTCTAAGAGGAGCTAAAAGTATATCACACACCTGCCGGAGTTGATCAATCGTCACAGTGGAGGATGTTTTGCGTGGAGCGTGGATCAGGGGTAGTGGAGGATGGTAGCTAGTAGATGTGTGAGCACCGTCCCAAGATCTATGAACGTGAAGGGATGTAATCGGAGTGACGAGAGAGTGACTGAAGGGGTTGGGATTGATAATAAAAGGAGAGCCTAAAAGTAATTTAGTCTGTGTGATAAGTGTAAACTAGATTTTAAATGAACTCTTACTGGATGTAGTTAGTCATACATGAGGAGATCGGACATTAGAAGTACCCCCTGTATTTGAACACTTTGTATACAGTACTCTACTATAACATGTAATTGTAATGTGAAGTTTTTATGTTTCAGATTTATTGGAGTTCTCGACATCTACGGGTTTGAGACATTTGAGATCAATAGTTTTGAGCAATTTTGTATTAATTATGCAAATGAAAAACTTCAGCAGCAGTTCAATCAGGTGAGCTATACAGTTTATTTGAATTATTTTAACCTTGAAAATAAGGTCTTTGGTGAGATCTTCCATTATGCCTGGATGACTGTTGAGCCCATTGTTTATATAGAGTAGAAATTATATAGTAAAGCAATAACCTCATAAAGAGACTGATTTTCCCTCGAAAGATATGTTACTTTTTCTCATGACCACCGGGGCTTTTAGGCAGTGACCCCTCGTTTAACGAAGCCCTAACGAAATTTCGGTTAACGAACTGCCTTCCATAAGGATCTTCAATTCGGTTAACGAACAAAAATTCGGTTACAATTTCTTCAAGGCCGACCTCAACATGTTTTCGCTTGCACTGGCGGGCAACCAAGCTTTAGTATCAGTCCGCCAATACATTAATCAGTTCTAGGGCTTAAATTCCTTACTATTTTAGTAAATATCAAGAAGTTTATACTATTCAATAATTTTAAAAGTTTAATATTCAATTTTTTAGTCATTTTAACAATTATTGAACATAATTGAAGGTAAAGTGACTAGTTTAATGCGCGGCATCCAGCCTCTTAACACAGCAAACAGGCGTTAGTCTCTCTCTGTTTTCACTGGAGGTAACATCTTGCTTGAGACTCTCTTCAACTAAACGCTTTTTTCTGTGTTTCCAAAGCAAATTATTGGTCATTTTGAAATATATTTTACATATTGACAATATATAATGCAGTACAGTGTTGATTTAAAGAAAATAATCTTGAAATACACCAAGAGAACTAAAATTTTATGGGTGAAATGGTGCCATGGGGTGACTTCTCTTCCACCCCAATGCCTTCTCTTCTTCCTTCTCCTCCACCCCATTGTAATTCCCATCATCATCATCATCATCCAGGGGCCTTCTACATACACACCTCAAAGTAAGTGAACTTTTCTACCATTTTGTTGAATTTAGGAAATTTTAGGTGAGCTGGAACCAAAAACCCATTGAAACAATGGTTTTGGTTATGAACTTTTGGTTGACGACCTTCTGGAGCGGATTGAGTTAGATTAACCGGTCACTGTGCAGTACTTGTCTTCATTTTTGAACTGCAATAAATACTACTACTGTAATTTAGAACTGTAAAATGATATCAGCAAACTTTATGAACCTGATTTCTGTCTTTAGAACCAGAGATTTTTTCTTTCTACTGTATATTAAAAAAAATTACTATAATAATAAGGGATAAGGGAATGTTTTACCTTCTCAGGGTATAATGTGTCTCTGTCCTGGAGTGTGGGTTGTAGCTCCACGTAATTAATATTCACAGACCAAAGAGAAAAATGAGTAAGAAATACAACTGGAGTATCTGAGAGTGATGTGAGAGTGGCTGAAACTACAATGAGTGTCTTTTGTTGTATGTAATAGACAGGAGGTGAGTTAGAGACCAGTGAGGAGTATGTCATATTCGAGTGACTGACGAACTTAGTGTCGATTAATTTGGGGGATGGGAGTTGTGGTGATGCTTGGTTGTGTGGAGTGACAAATATAAATCAGATTGGAGTTTGTGGCCTTATTTTGGGATGGGAATATGTCAGCAGGAAATATCTAGCACAGTAGTAAGAATTAGTGAGTGACCATGAATGAAAGGGGGGGGGGTGTGTGTTATAACAAGACTCAAAGGTGAAAAAATAATAATATGATGATGATGACTGTTTCCCTTCAGCACGTATTCAAGCTGGAACAAGAAGAATATGTGAAGGAACAGATCGAGTGGGAATTCATCAACTTTTACGACAACCAGCCGTGTATTGATCTCATAGAGAGCAAATTGGGAATCCTGGACCTGTTAGATGAGGAATGTCGGGTAAGATGTTATATTTAAGCAACTTAGGACCAGTGTGGACCTGACTGGGTTGTGGTGTAACATTAGATCATGAGGTCAATGTTCAGATAAGTTTATTTTCTATTGTTACCTAAGAACTCATTTTGGCGGCACATGACCTAAGCTGTTGCGTCACCAGGGATGTAATTACCTCAATCAATTAACCTAAGAACTATGTAGCTATATGTATTGAAACAACTGGAATAGAATTTAAATTATATATTACAAGGTAATTCTTTAATTTTTATAAATACAATGTCTTCCAATTCCAGATGCCAAAGGGTTCAGATCAATCGTGGGTTGAGAAGCTCTATGACAAGTGCAAGAAATGGGATCACTTTAGTAAACCCCGACTGTCCAATACGTCTTTCCTCATCTCTCACTTCGCTGACAAGGTTGGCTATGAGTGTGCCGGCTTCCTGGAGAAGAACCGCGACACGGTGTCAGAGGATCAGATCAGTATTCTCAAATCTAGTCAGGTCAGTGGTGTTATGTTGTCTGAGAGTAATATAATCTGGCTGGTGTTATATTATGTGGCAATGATGTGGTCTAGTCACTGTTATGAGGTCAGAGAGTAATATAATTGGCCAGTAAATGAATGACTAATTACTGACTAAAAATATGTAATTAGGGATGTGTTTGTTTTCCATTAATATTTGAAGTGTTATTATAAAATTGTGTGTTTGTGGGATATTTGTAATTTTTTTTTTTTTTTTTTTTGAGAGAGTTAAGAGAAAATATTTGTGATTTATGATTCCCGGTAACCGTCTTAAAGAAAATCTTGTTCACCGCAGATTAAATTAGTTCACGCTCTCTTCACGGAGAGGGAAACAAAGGCCATGACCAAAGTGAAGGTCCTACCCTCTGCGCCACCACATTCAAAATCAAAACAGATGAAGAAAACAGTGAGTATAAATATCAGGAATTTCTGCCATGACGGTATTATTCTCGTGGTTTGTGAGTTGTAAGGTATGTAGTTAGGTTAGGTTAGGGGAGGTTAAGTTAAGGTTTTTTTATCAATGAGGAGTGTTACGTTTGACTTGGTGTTTAAGTTATGGATTAATGACTCAGCCGTGTCAAGTCACTACACACTCCTGTACTGAGAAAATGTGTATAAGGCCGAATTAAAACTTACAGACACAGTTTAGTTGATGTTTTAAATATTTTGTATGCATTAAGCTATTTCAAAATTCATTAATTAACACTAATTGGGCTTAAATCAGCCAACCTTTGACTCTTCCTCATATTTTCCTTCCTATTTTGTAGTTTCTGTAGATCCAGCCCGTGTAAAATTAAGATAATAACAAAGAAATAAGTAGATAACAGATATATTAGTGAGATTAACTAAGGAGATTAGTTATATAATGTTTTAAAAGTGAATAAGAATTTGAGTTCAGTTCACTAGTCCTGCACGACTCATCATTTATTTCATAATTATAAACTTTCTTCCAGGTTGGTTCTCAGTTCCGTGAGTCGCTGAATCTGTTGATGTTGACGCTAAACTCGACGACGCCTCACTATGTGCGGTGCATTAAACCTAACGATGATAAGATGGCCTTTACCTTCGATCCTACCCGAGCCATCCAGCAGCTGAGGGCCTGTGGTGTGTTAGAGACTGTTAGAATTAGCGCTGCAGGTTATCCCTCCAGGTGAGCTGTGGTGGTGTTGGGCGGCTCTGTCCTACACCTTGTTTTATGTCTTACTGTCTAATTTTCTCTATTGAATTACTCTTAAATTTATGTCCCTTTTATGGCTTTTATTCTTGTACATTAAACCTCTTCTTATGTCAAAGGAGAGTTATATGTAAATGATAAATCAGTTAATAAATAAGTAATGCTTGAACAGAATTTTTGCTGCAGTTAGATACTTTGTGATATGAGAAACAAAATGGTTCCTTCTAATATCTCTGAAGATTTTTAGTAATATTGAACATTAATTGGGTTTTCATGTGTGGCTTTATTTTGATTACAGGTGGACGTATAATGAATTCTTCTGCCGGTACCGGGTGCTGTGTAATTCCAAAGATATTAAGTGGAATGATATGCGTGTGACGTGTGAGAGGATCATCGCTAATATGATCAATGTATGTATTAGTATAGTGTTGTATATTAATATTAGATTATTGCTTATTAACAATTCTACTTGGTGTATTAGAGATGCTGTTGGATAATGGTCGCTCAGTCTCTTGTAAACTTATGCCAGAATAGTATATTATGAGGATTATTTTTCCATGTTGCTTCAGCTGTGGTGGGTCTGATTCATTAGAGCGTTTAGTAATGTCTGTTATTATTGTTAGGATTTGTGGCAGTAGAGTGGGTACAGTATTTGTCTCCTGTTCTGATAGTCTGTGGTTTACCTCCAGGGGACCCTCAGTCCACCAGGCTGTCAACGGGTACAAAACTTTACAGGTGGGGAAATGAAAGTGATCAAGAGAAGTGTCGGACACACTTTCTCTTAGTGTGCCAAAGGTTTTGTATACAGTGGTGTACCTCACTGTACTTAATGGACCATTAGGCCCACCAACCCAGTTTTATTGTATATTGAGTACAGTAAGTCAGTATCCCCTGTGGGAACAAATTTAGCTATAACTCTATTTTCGATATACAGTATTACATCATTTACCCCTACAGGATGAAGACAAATTTAAATTCGGCCGTACCAAGATCTTCTTTAGAGCGGGTCAGGTGGCCTACATGGAGAAGCTACGTGCGGATCGGTTATCTGCATGTGGTGTTATGATTCAGAAACATGTACGAATGTTCTTGCACCGCAATCGCTTCAGAACGATGCGTAAGGCAGCTGTAACTATACAGAGGTATTCAAGAGGCACAGCAGCTCGTAGGTGAGTCCACAGCAGTTCTGATCACGGCTAAACTAATTCACATTAAAAGGTCTTTCTGGTGTGTTACTTGGACTCTTATGATTGTCCTTCAGATTTTATTTCTTTTTATTATTTGCTCATAGTTTAGTTCATAAAGAATCATTATATTGTATACTGTACTTAAAGTTTGTTAAGTTTGGATGACTCATATCGCTATTTTTTTTCAGACGTGTTCATCACATGCGACAGACTGCAGCAGCTATCAGGATTCAGGCATGTGTACGAGGCTGGGTCAAATTTGTGCAGTATCGGCGTCTTGTTTACACTATCACACAATTACAGGCGCATGCTCGTGGTGCCTGGGCTCGGAAAAGATATGAGCACATGCGTAGAGTCAGAGCGGTAAGTGTTGAGAGACGGTCATACTCATTATGTCATACCAACCAATAGGTGTTCTGTATGATATTTACTACACTTGAGTATCAGGAATCAGACCAGGAGCCAATGTAAACAATGTTGGTTACCCATGTGTATCAAAGCAAGTACTACACCCACCCTGTACTTGTAATTTACTGATTAAATCTGCTTATGTGGGATGATGAGGCTGCTCTATATATATATATATATATATATATATATATATATATATATATATATATATATATATATATATATATATATATATATATATATATATATATATATATATATATATATATATATATATATTACAGTAATGGCATCTCCGTACTTGTCTTAAGATAATAATTTTTCTTATAAGCAATAAATTAGTGAACAGGATTGTGTAATTTTTTTTCTTCAGGCCATTGTCATCCAGAAGAATATACGATCATGGTTGACAAGGGAGCACTTCAAGAAGGCCATGCTTGGTATTGTCATCCTACAAGGAATGGTACGATGCTTCCTTGCCAGAAAGAAGTTGAAGAAGCTCAAGATTGAGGCCAAGTCAGTTGAACACCAGAAGAAACTCAACAAGGGATTAGAAAACAAGATCATTTCACTGCAGCAGAAGCTCACAGAAATGGTATAGCATTCACTCTTTCCCTAGATTCTCATTTTTTTTATTAATCTTCCTAAATATAGTTTTTGTATAATTAACATAACCTAACCTGTATATTGCTTTACCAAATTTTTCAATATAATTTTTCCTTCAAATTTTCAACATTTAAATTGATTAATAGAATTATTGATACTACCATATATGTATTTAAGAAGCATAAAGTTAAATTTTTTTGAAAGGATAAGTGATTTAAGTGGCATTAATTAAGGAGAAGATTTCAGTTACTAGATGGAATATTTTGGGGCCATTCTCTAAATATTATGAAGATCTATAGAAATTGGGTATTAATTATGTGAGCTTTTTTATCTGCCACAGAAACACGAGAACAACTTCATCAAAGGCTACAAAGAGGAGATCACCGTTCTAAAGGGACACATGGTTGAGATGAAGTTGTTGGAAGTCCAGCAAAAGAACAGCACCAACCGTATTGCTGAGCTCGAGGCCAAGGTGTCTGCGCTAACGGAGGAGGTGGAGGTGAGTCGAACAAATGTGAATATTGACGACGAGGAATAATGTAAATAATGTGTAGTGAAGTTAATGTAAACAAGAATTCTGCCCAAGACATTTACACTCCATCTCATGTTTACAGAAGGAGAGAGGTGAGAAGATGGACGTGTTGACCGAGAAGGAGCAAGCAGAGAAGGATAACCGTGAAATAGTGGAAAAACTCAACGCAGAAAATGTACGCCTATCAGAAGAGTTGGAAAAGGCCCAGAAAGAAGAGTCGAAAAAAGAATCAGAAGGTAAGGTGATGTTATTTAACCTTTAGGCGATGGTTGACCTTGGTGCTGACAGGAAGATTGGCCCCAGATTATCCGACCTGAAGTTTACTCATCTAACACAAAAGAATATACAGTTGTGGACAGAAAGAATTTGACCAGTTGCTTGATAGTACAGTAGACAGAACATGTGTTAGGAAGCAGCTGTCATCTGAACTCACCCTGCCCTTAGTCAATATTTGTGTTTGTTTTATCAGTCACTGCAGTTAGTAATTTTTTTGGTTTAATGATTTATACTATGAAGACCTTGGATCTCTTACTTCCCTGCTGTTTCAAGTTCACTCATGGCTTTCTGCCTGAACATTAATGACAACTCTATGTAGGTTAAGTTAGGTTGGGTTATTTTCTCACAGCTATAGGTACCTAATACTCATTCGTATTTGTCTCAGAGTTGCTACGGCGTAAGTTTGAGGCAGAGAAACAACAGATCATCATGGAGGGCTCGGATGAGAAGTCAGCATACCAAAGACTACTGAAGGAATTCAATCGTTTAGAGCAGAAGAATGATATCCTGGAGGAGCAGCTGGTGAGAGTCAAGGGAAGCAATGTTCATAAAGTGAGTCCCATTGTGTTGTGTTGACCGTACATTATGTTGAGGTTTTGGGGTCTTTGTTGTTGTACTTAAGAGAAAATAATATAAATTTCTCGTTTACTAATGTATGTATTTTATGGTAGGATTTTGGGGGGTTTCTGCTGATATATTTGAAGTTGATTTTAATATGATAGTGATATTAGTTTGATTTTAATGGAAACATACTGTAGTCACTTTATTCCTTATTTTTGATGCAGAGGATTTTATTATTGAGTATCATTAAATATGGTAAATAAAAAATTCTGATTTATTTTGTAATCTGGGAACTGTACCTGTGTTTGTATTGGGTATTTACACATAAAGGTGGAATTAAATTGATACAGCTGTAATGCTGAAACTACTGTAAATTTGCATTCTTATTAATATCCCACAGAGAACCGCCAGCAATGTGAGTAACATCAGCGGCGCCAGCGATGCTCCCACGGAACTTGTGCGTGACGACGCATCAGAGTTCAGTTCCATAATTGGGGATGATGTGAGTAAACCAATCATGTGTTTTGTCTTAATCGGTCAGTTAAAACTTTACACATGCGGTAAAAACTCTGAATATGGGAACCTCAATATTAGGGATCTTGCTTTCTCATAGAGCAGTCTGGCTCAGAGAGTGTATTTTGCTTGGTGTTGTCCAAGACTCAATGTGCAGTGATAAAGTGCTGGCAGTGTGGCACGGAAGCAGCATGTTGGTTGAGTGTTTGAAGAAGGTGTTCTCTGATATGTCAAGGGGCTATGAAAACACTCTGGCCATGCTTGTAGACATTGCTTGCAGGCTACTAGGGTTCATATTGCTGTTGTTGCTATATTCTGCTCTGTGTGGGAAATTTCACTTCATTTTTGCTACATTATTTGTGATAAGTGGTCACAGGAGTACAGTACTGTATCATAATATTGTGCATACATACCTTGCATTTTTTTACCACACTTAGCATCCAGTGTTGCATTTGTGTCCTTTCTATGCTAATAACCAAGTTCTGAACTGTTAAATCTTATCTTAACTTGATTTTCTGCTCATTGGAAAGTATAGTATTTATGGTAGCCAGATTCAACCCTGTATTTAAAATAATTACCCCACTAGCAGACTGACCCTGCATGCCTTCGTCCCATATTCAGAGTTTTTACTGTAACATCACTGAGCTTATCAATTTTATCTATTTTCTTAACTTTAAAATATTGTAGTGTGTTTAACAAGGGAAGACCATAACAAAATAAACACACCAACAAAGATTCAGTTAGGTATGGCTATAGATGCAGTTAACAATAAAGGAATTAAGGTGTTGGCTGGTAGTGGTGGATTGGATCAGTTATTTCCTTGTTTTCACTGCTGCTGCTGTTAGTTTCATCAGTTAAGCCAGTGTTATGTTTCATTCTTTTCCTTCACTTTATCTGTGAATATTTGTTAGGGTTTTTTAGTGGTATTTTCCGGGGTTTTATTGCCAACACATTGCACTCCACTGATCCTTACGTGGCTTGTACAATACTGAAGCATAATGGACTCTCACTGGCATGTGGTTTGTTCCCATTTTGCATGATACTAATCTCTGAAATATTTATTAATTCTTTATAGAATTAAAAAATTTATGAATTAAATTTTAATCCCTTTTGCATTCATGAAAAGATTCAGACTTGCATTTTGGCCAAAATTCTTGTTATATTTTGTTATGATGTTCTGTTTGCCTCTGATGCTCACCCAGGATTGGATGTCTGTAAGTTGAACTAATTTTTTTTACTTTTAAATTTGTATACAAAAATTTAAATATTTTTATTTATTTTTATTTTTTTTTCATTTCAATTTTCCAGTTGTTGTAGTAGTAGTTAATTGATATAGAAGTGTTAAGGCCATACATACTATAAGAGCATGTAATGTATCTGTAGTATTTGTGGGTGTAGCTTTAATAACAGGTAGTGAGGTGTGGATTAAATCTCACCAGGGTTCATAATACAGGTCCTGGCTGTGGGGTGAGGTACTGGGAGGGGGGGGGGGTAAACAGTGTAGCCAGGTGCTGAATTACTGTCACACATGTTTATGAAATGTTAATCGATAGTTGGGAAGGAAATGGTAAATACAGTAGATAGATTTTATTAATACTGTACTAAGAAGACTGGAAGGTTGAAGGGAATTAATGTGAATATGGTTAGTTCTGGATGTGAAACTTGCAAGCCTTTGACTGTTTGATTAATAATGGACCGATATGGTGGGATAAAAGGTGAGCCATCTTGTATGTTTCTCAGCCTATGTTACTTCATAAGGTAATGTGTTCCCTCCTCCTCCCCATCTCCCCCATTGACTATATCTCATGTCCTATTTGCATCATAATATTTCCTTCTCTGATGCCCATTATCCCTTTAACATGTGAAGAAAAGTCTCATTCTGTTGATTCGTCACAAGTTGATCAAATATCCCCCCTCCCCTCCACTCAGTTCCTCTTGGGATTTTTAATTTCCAATATATATTTCTTAATTTTCTTGCCAACCTCCCATTGGTTATTTACTAGGTTTAATCACTGTACAATTTACAACTTAATCAGTGACTCATTTTTGTTAGTTACCCCTCTATATATATTGATCCATACTCCCACTTATGAGGAAAAATAGTTTGAGGAAATATACTTTTTTAAATATTGATGATTTTTGCTACATTTAAGGAAACTGAGTAAATCTATAAGAGAATGTTATTGAAGACTGTACAATGAAACCTCCATATAATCAACTTCTCTGTACTGTATGTATAATCTGTGAGATAAGGGGGGGGTTCACATCTAACGGACCCTCGATATAATGGACTTTCGTATCTATATAGTTCGTTAGATGGAGGTTTCACCGTACACTCTATCTTGCATGATGATGAGTTTGCATTGCTTTGATTTGTCATTGAATAAGCATGACTGTTATAGCTTTACCAAGAGCGTCCATAAATGCATCACTTTTAACATGTGCCTTGTACGCGTAACAGGACATCGGCTATGGGTCTGTTCGGAGTCGTGCCAGCGAATTCTCGGACTCCAGCAGGAATTTAGAGAATATCGATTGGAGTTCGCCGTCTCATAAGGCCAACACGGAGATCAAAATACACGTACCGGAGAAGGCAAGTTATATAATCAGTGTTGGTATTTTAGTCTGTTCATTTGTCTTCTGAGTTATTGCCATCTTAATAATTATTGTCAGCCTCATTATTAATTATCTTTCTTGTCATCATCGTCATCGTCATACTCTCATCTTTATATATAACCAACAGGATTTTCTTGAAACTTGTAATCATACCTCAAAATATTCTTATTAAATATTGCTTATGAAATTTTGGACTGATCATTTTACAGTTTGGCAGGGAAAAATCAGCCATATTTAGTCATTTGTTGATAAACTTCAACATATTGCATTTTAGTTTTTTTATCTCGGTTGAAAGAAGAGTTTGTTGCCCTGTACAGTTAGTTGACATTATGAGAGGCATCTTTGGCGATCATTTGATATTCATGTCATTATCATCCACCTCTGTGTTTTGAAATGGAGGTTTCACATCAAACGGACCCTCTATATAATGGGATTTCCTCTACACGTAGTCCCTTAAATAGAGGTACTGTACTATCACTGTGATGGTAAATTGGTTGTACTGTAGTGAAGGGGATACAGTAACTAATTTTCTGTACTATGTCAATACAGTATATCTCACCTTAACTGATTTTGTATAATAGCTTGACCTAATTTTATAAATATTTGTGCATGCATCATAAAAAAAAAAAAATTAAGAGTGGTTTCCAAACTTTTTGATGATTTCTAACACTGGTATATCCTCAAGCATAGAACTGTATGTTGTTTTAAAATGTATTGAGGGAAGAATACACATTAAATAGGGGAAGAAGGAGTTGTATTTGTGTTGGTTAGATTCCCATGTGGTCTTCAATGTTTCAAACGTAAATCGTATCCCTGACGAACTCTTCCTCACTCCCTCAAACCGTTTCTTTCTGGTTTTGTTAACATTTCCATTATTTTGATTTTAGTTTAACCTCTTGGCATTAATTTTCTCCAGTGCCTTATGACCTTGGCTGTTGCGGCGCTAAGATCATAGAGTAGTTGTCATAATAAATCAATCTCTCACTCACTCTATCCTGGTATTTCTCTTCTTTCTTTAGGTGATATATTTATTTCTCTTACTCTTAATTTCTCCCCCCTCCTTCCCCCCCAAAGAGAAGTACAGTACAGGTAGTTCTGCTATAACGCGATAATTGTGTTCTTGTAAAATATCGTGTTATAGAAAATCGCGTAATAGAAATAACAGGGCTTATGGAGAAAATAGGGTTAGGTGCAGATTACTCGAAATCAAAAAAATTTAGTAGTTAGCCTAACACAAAGGATAGCACAGTCTAAATAAATGTTACATTCATATCTAATAATGAAATCATACAGTAAATGTAACACTTTACCTTGAAAAAATATGAATGTAACTTGATGGGGGAGAAGGGTGATTTTGAGGTTGATAACATCGAGCTTCTCTTCAAGTGTTATATCCTTTCTTTTACGATCATCACCGGGAATTCTATCACCAAAACGCTTCTTGGAGATATTCTTCTTTACCATATTCACTATTAATACCACAAAATTGGAGAAATAGTAAGCAAAAATCGCGTTATAGCAAACAAGCGTTCGCGTTATACAAATATCGTTCCTAATTCATAAATCGCGTTAGAGCAAATTCGCGTTATCAAAACACGCGTTATAGCAGAACTCACTGTATGTGTATTATTAGTCCCTTGAGTAGTACAGTATGATCACCTAAGCTTATTGAATAGGATGAATACGTACTCGAGGGGTTAATTCTTCGTACTCAAGAAAGGGGTAAGGTCATTGTATTCGAGGGGTAAAGTCATCATACTCAAGGATTTAAATCATTGTATTGAAGGGGTTAAATCATACAGTATTCCCCCCTCCTCCTTTTATGACAACGATTATACACAACAGTATATACAGTAGCTATATTTCACAAAGTTATATAAAAAATTTGGAAACCACAGAGAGAAGCACCTGATAGTAATAATCTTTGCCTGGTGTGTTGTGCTTGGTATGACATCTCTCTTAAGAGGATACAGTTTTGTGTTCTTGGTGCACTGCCTCATCTTTACTAACAACCTTGTGACTTACCTTACTCCTTGCTGCTTGGTGGTGACTCCTCTCTCTGGTGATGTGGTGGTACTGGGAATGGGGATAGGTGGAGGACATCACCTTAGTACTCCAACTCCAAAACAAAGTGCGGGAGTTAGAGAAGGAACGGAGGAGTCTGGCCAAGCAGATTGACCAGTTGGAGTCGTCATCTCCCATGGATGACCCGCAGCACGCACAGGAGCTTATCCGGGTATGCTGAATACATTAGCTAATCCTAGTACAGTATTTCACAGTGTAGAAAATAAGGCTTATTTTAAGTGTGTGTGCTTAATGTGTTGAGTTTTATGCTTGATTACCAACATAGATGTGTTTAGGCCTTGTGGTAAAGGAATAATATACTAATAGGATAGAACTTTTAGGTCTTACTCACTTGCCTGTGCATCTTACAGTATAATGCAGCTTCACAGTAATATTTAGTGTTGAGTTAATTTACAGTATTTTGGGTTTACCATTTAGTAACATGAGGTTACATAAATCTTGCATCGTGTGAAAATTAATTTTTTATGATAATGTAATAGCACTTGCCATTCAGTGTCCCCTTTATTATAAGGAACAATTGGCTGAAAGTTCACTCCAGTTCATGAGTATACACAAGTATAGTGGGGCTTTTTCTTTTGTTAAAGTCTGAATATTGAAATGGTTGATGCATTAAGTTATCTGGGAGGTAAGTTTCATGCGTTGAACCAGTACTATACATTCCTGATGGTACTGAACTATAAAAGAGACCTTCAGTTTAAAGCATTATTTTTAGAGATACTTTGAGACATCAGTGTAATGCAATAAGGTTTTTGATAATACAGAAGGTATATCTCTTCCTGTCAGTAGATAATATGAACATATAGATCAGTACACTTTCAGTTTATGTCTCATTTAATGGTAGCTGATTAAACACAACCTTCTGAATTGCTCATTGCATAGTGAAATATTTTCTTTTGATATTATAATGGACATAATGTAACTTAGACCATAGTTATAACTTCGTGTATGAAATAAGTAACTCTTGTTGGTGATGCATGCGCTCCTCTTGGTTTTACGACAACGATGCATGTTTATATGATACTCCTTCCTGTGAGCACCAATAAATAATGAAGTCATATAGTTCTTGCACCAGGTTTTGCCTTCATTTGCCTCAGCATGTTTCTTGTGCACTTTTTTATTCCTCTAACATTAAAGCTGTACTGTAGTTTATATAATGATTCTTTCCCAGAACAGTGACTAAGTAATGATTGTCTCAAATACTCACCTCTTGTTTGGTGTATTTCCTCACAGCTTCAAGAACTGGAGATGGAGAACGCCAAGTTAAAGGACGACCTCAACCGGCTGCGGAAGTCCATCGCCGACTCTGAGCCGCAGAACAACAGAGTGCAGGAGTTCATGAGTGAGTGTTGGTGCTGTTTTGTAGTACAGAGTGATAGTGACGAATCAGAATCTGAATAAATCTTTCACACTTCATTAGACGTCGGGAACCTAGTGTTATATTCAGGGCCAGTTTCGAGGGATTCTTTTGTTTGGTAGTGTGCAGGAAAATAGGAATTCATCGAGTAATCTGATAGGTGTAAAATCCAAGTCATAACTCATTAGCTGAAGTCTGTGAATGTGAGGGCTGTGGGCTTGTACTTTTGTTGATAATGTTCCATACTGTATAAACATTGATCTACTCTTCTTAAATCCCAGACCTCATTTTTATCAAACTTGTTATAATTGATCTTCACGTCATCTCACTTAAACTAACTTGTAAGTCATGTCTAGCAGCTCTTTAATAGGAAGTACAGTCTCGTTCAAGATTCTTCGAACACTGCTGGAGACAGCTGGCAACTCAATGCCGTTTGTTTACTATAGTACGTAGTAAAAATTATGAACGAATGTAAAAGATAATCGGTGATTGGTTACTTAATTCCCCGTTGCTTAATTAATGGTTAGGCTTTGTTGTTTCGTATTATATTATAGTACGTTCTATAGTAAATAAATGGCCTTGAGTTGCCAGCTGTCTCCAGCAGTGTTCGAAGAATCTTGAGTGAGACTGTACATCTGGGGTATTTTTAAGAAACTGAATATTTAACTTTTTTCACAGAATTTCCCTACGTGCATACTAAAAAAATTCCTTATTATACCGGTTATGTTATTTAGATGTTTCTTATTGTATAGAGAGATGGACAATAGTAAAAAAAATATTTCAAACTTGTTATCATTGTGGTACGTTTGAGTTAGGCTTCTGTAAATGTGGTACAGTTTTGTCTTCATTAAGTGCTGGTGTTTAGGAGGGAGAAGGTATACAATATATAAGTTATCATTTCACCATAGAGAGGGGCCATGTGGGTGTGGTTGTGGACAGGACAGTGGCCATATGGGTGTGGTTGTGGACAGGACAGTGGCCATATGGGTGTAATTGTGGACAGGACAGTGGCCATGTGGGTGTGGTTGTGGACAGGACAGTGGCCATGTGGGTTTGGACAGGAAAAAATACCATGTGGGTGTGGACAGTAAGGAGGCCATGTGGATGTTGGTGTGGACAAGAAGGTGGCCATGTGGGTGTGGTCAGGAAAAAGACTATATGGGGGTGGTTGTGGGTGTGGACAGGAAGACTATAGGGTGTGGTTGTGGGCGTGGACAGAATGGTAGGGTGGGGTGGGGGGGAGAGAGACAGTGTGAGGTATCTGGAGCATGGCGTGGGGTGAGAGGGGGGGGGGGGAAGGGATGGTTTGCAACAGTGTTTGTAATCTTCTGCTTCTTGGTCAACTCCCAGGGTCCTCTCCCGCTGCCTCGCTTCTCCCACGGCAAGGACAGTGGGAGGGATTGAGTTGAATTGAAACAGTTTATTTAGCCAGAAAAACACAGATACAGGGTGGATAATAATAACAATATTAACATGTCTGAGCCAGTTGAGAACCTGAGCTCTCTTTTAGGCACCTGATATATACTATACATTTATCTCAAGGAAGTATCATGTAACATTTAGTAACATCTGGAATAGTACAATAGCATGGTAGTAATAAGAACATCTCATAATGTTACCACGGTTATCACTTCAATATTTAATAATTTTATTTATTTATTATTATTTTTTTAGTTTATTATATATATATATATATATATATATATATATATATATATATATATATATATATATATATATATATATATATATATATATATATATATATATACATATATATATATATATATACAGTATATATATATATATATATATATATATATATATATATATATATATATATATATATATATATATATATATATATATATATATATATATATATATATATTGGAATTGAAAACATAAGTATAATTGGGAGTAGTACTGTACAACATGGGTTGTACAGTATTAAGGTTAAGCAAGAGGACAGAGCTGTCAGGAATATGTCTAGTTGGCAGGTAGAAGGGCGTGTAAGGGAGGTAGGAGGGCGGGAGGGAGGGGGGCGGAGAGGAGGTGTAGAGGGAAGGGAGAGAGATTGAAGAGAGGTGTGAAGGGGAGAGGTGTAAGAAGGGAGTTAGGAGGGCGTGGAGGAGGGGTATGGGAGGGCGTGGGAGGGCGTGGGGAGGGGGGATGGGAGGGTGTGGGAGGGGAGGGGTGGGAGGGCGTGGAGGAGGGGTATGGGGAGGGCGTGGGAGGGAGGGGGTGTGGGGAGGGCGGGAGGGAGGGGTGTGGGAGGGCGTGGAGGGAGGGGGTGTGGGAGGGCGGGAGGAGGGGGTGGGAGGGCGGGAGGGAGGGGTGTGGGGAGGGCGGAGGGAGGGGTGGGAGGGCGTGGAGGGGAGTGGGGAGGGCGGGAGGAGGGGTATGGGAGGGAGGGTGGGAGGGCGTGGAGGGAGGGGTGTGGGAGGGCGTGGAGGGAGGGGTGTGGGAGGGCGTGGAGGGAGGGGGGTGAACTAACAGACCACAAGTCATGCCTGACCAGTGAGTTGTGGTGGATATAGCGGAGTACACTACTGTCTCAGCTGACCCTCCCTCCCTCCAGCCTCCCTCCCTCCCTCCTTATCACTACCTCATGACTACTCCCTCCCTCTCTCCATCCATCTGTGTGTGTAAGGTATTTATTTGGCTAATAATATATATAATTATATCAATATCAACATCATCACACTCCAGTTACGACCTGAGGACTCTTACGTCATTATATAACTGTACATCACATATTATAAAACACCGAGACCCTCTGTTTAACGGACTACTGTACGGTGGATCCTCCATATAACGGACGTCTTTACAGTGAAACCATAGATATAACGGACTTCTTCACAGTAAAATCTCTATATAACGAAATTCTGTACAGTTGAACCTCCATATAACGGACGTCTTTATAGTGAAGCCTCCATATAACGGATTTCTCTATGTAATCCGTTAAATAGGGCAGGGCCGGATTAAGCTTAATAGGGGCCTGAGGCACAGATCAACTTGGGGCCCCGTACCCTCAAGTGTATATATATATATATATATATATATATATATATATATATATATATATATATATATATATATATATATATATATATATATATATAGCAAGAACAAAATATACCAAAATTTATCAATGATTTCATCAATATTAAACTTCTGCAAAATAACACATTCAATGTTCATAAGAGACAGAAAATTGAGACATTGCTAGGACATCGTTGAACGAAGTTCATGTTTTATATGCTTCAACTTCGAGAATGTTTGGATTTGAGGGCCCCTTAGAGTCGCCTGAGGCTAGTGCCTCAAGTGCCTCATGGTTAATCCGGCCCTGAAATAGAGGTGGGGGCGGCGGGGGCGGGTTCATATCTAAAGGACCCTCAATATAAAGGACTTTCTTCTCCATTTAGTTCATTAAATAAAAAAAAATCGCTGTATTGTAACCCAGAAATAGCTGGAGCGGACGTTGGTGTAATTGAGTCATCCGGGTTGTGTAAGTAGTCCAGACGCTTGAAGGTTGAGGCTGAGCTGAGGTTAAGTTACGACTTGAGCTGAGGTTGACTTGTGGGGGGTGGGGGGTAGGTAATGGTATTGTTATGTGTTGTACACTTCTGTGTTGTGAGGTTGTTAGAGTTGTGGTCGTGATGTTATTATTGTAGTTGTGATTTTATTAGTACTGTTGTGAGTGTTATGCTGTTGTTGAGAGAGTTGTAGTGAGGTTGTAAGGACACGTGGATTTACCTGATTTTCTGCATTACCTGTACGATACGTGTTAACAGGTAGGGATGAGGCTACCTGTACTATACCTGTATTGTACTGTGACTGTTGGGGGGGGGGTTGTGGAAGGTGAGGGAAGATAGGAGGTGAAAGGGGGAGGGAGAATGGGTGGAGGGAGGAAGGGAGGGGACAAGGTTGGAGGGAATTACAAGGAGATAGACAAGGTTGGTAGTGGAACTCACACACACACACGTCTTTAGGGAGTGGAGTTATTATTGACGTTATTCCCCATGTTGTGACCTTGGCTCTTAACCTCATAGTTATAAATATTCAAAATTATGAGCGGTGTGGCTGTTCCTGTTTTTTATACATACAGACAGACAGACACACAGACAGTGCATAGTGGTAATAATAATAATAATAATAATAATAATAAAATAATAATAGCACAAATAATAATAATAATAACAACCATCATCATCATCGTGACCAAACTAACACAAGACGTGGTTGGTCGTGTGATCTCAATAACAACAGGGACTTGAGTGGTTCCTAAATTTCTGTCTTGGATGCTGGCTGAGGAGCTCGCTAGCCCAGCCGGACGGAGATAATGGTGATAGTGGGGGAGGGGGAGAGGGAGAGATATGTGTTCGTTGTTATTGTGATGCTGGATAAGTGGTGGGTTTCTTACAGGTTTAGCTTGTCTGTCTAACCGTATTTTTGCTTTTGTGTTTGTTGGAGGAGGGAGATTCGATGTTGTTTTGGTTACACCTCACGTCATTCTCTCTCTCTCTCTCTCTCTCTCTCTCTCTCTCTCTCTCTCTCCAATTTCTTCTTCCTTACCTCTTTCTTCCTCTTCCCCAGCCAATTTCTTCCTCCTCCTCACCATGGTTGCGTCACCTGAGAGAGAGAGAGAGAGAGAGACTGCCATTGTGAGTTAGTATTGTGAAAATGTGTTGAGCTGTAGAAAGTTTACTCAGAGAACACCAACATGAGTACAGGTTGTAAATTACAGGTACAGTCCTTAACACCTGTATCATAAAGAATGGTTTCCTTAATTAAGATCTGAAATTACAGGTTTAATTATGAAATACAGGTACAGTGATATACCTTTTGGTGACTATCAATAAGACGATGGTAGCAGACAGAGAGATGGGGGGGAGGGGTGAATGAATGATAAATGGACATAAATAAGAGAAAAAAGAACAGCAATGAGAGAAAGGAAGGAAGGAAGAGAGGGGAGGTGTGTG